AAAAAAACTTGAACAATATCAAGTGTCAGTAATTGCACAAAAATGTATACAAGTGCAAAACAATTATTCAATCAACTAAGTTTCAGTGAATCATATTTCAAACGTTTATAATAAAACGGCCGATGATTTAGTTAGTGAATTAATTGCATTCGCCGTTAATCAGAAACGAAAACATATCGACCTTGCCTTCCTCGATTTATTCGAAAAAATGGTTATTATTCATCAATTTATCCGTTTAATTCTTTAATTGTCATTAGTATTAGATGCGTCAATAATCTGTTCGTCAATTGTAAAATCAAATGAGTCAGAAATAATCAATTCCAGAAATGTATAGAAACAGATCATTATCTTTTATTACCGTTTTATTTTTATAGAAATCGTTTAAATTTAATGGATCAGCTCGATTAGCAATCTACTAAAAAATTACGTTCATTAGTGCATAAAGACAATGCACTTTCTTAGCGAATCTGATAATACTAGATATTATTAATATTATAATAACTATGACCTGAAATTGTATTGAACCAAATGTGGCAAACTGTATATAAACATAATATTTCATGTTATTNATTATTGTTATTGTTAATATTATTATTGTGAAATAAGTTTCTAAAATAATCTAATTCCGACTGACATCCAACACGATTACTGCCAGTAAAACAGTACATTTCAGCCGTATTGTTTTCATATCTACAAATCCGACTCTGAAAATAATTATGTTTAGTAATGCTTGACTGAAATTTTTGTGGAAATATGTGAAGAATAGTAAGCAATAATAATAAATAATCATGAATAACTTAAAAATGAATATTCTTCAGGGGGGTTCTCAGTGAACTTAATATCAGTCATGATCTTGTGGATGGCTTTGACATGGATGTGAGTGCAGCTGATCATTCAACGTATTCAGTTCAGATGGAAACTGATGGCCCACCTTTAGAACAAAAATATCTTGACTTTACTCCTGTTCGGTATGTTTTTAATCGTTTATTCATTCGATTAAAACTTCAAATAGACCCGTTATTCATAAGTTGTTCGATTGAGTACAATTTCAAGTAGGTAATTATCAATGTAGCAGTTTCACAATCATCATGCGGAATTTATTGAAGCAAATGATGGTAATTTAGCAAAGTTTTTTACTCAGTTTCATCAGTAATCAGTCACAATCTCATCCAAGCATTTGTCTTTTTACTGCCACTGATTACCACTTTTCAGTTCTCCACATTTTCTGTTGATAAAATTTTATCCAGAATGGTTTTATTTTAACNATTCAGATCGTATTGAATAGTTACAACTTCATTAAATAGTTCATTTCATTTCGTTATTGATAAGTATAAATGATCTGTAAGGAATGATAAAATAGTCAATGACTGGATAAACAATGAAAAGTGGAATGTTCCACGAATATGAACATTAATGCTAACAAAATGGTTTCAGAAATTTGTGATCGTATCGAAATACTTCGTAATGCAATCAGACAAAATAATGAGCAAATTATCAATTTTGAAAAATGTGACTTTATTTCATCAGTGAGTTGACTTGATTTTATTTTAGTACGTCAAATGATAATATGTATATACGTATTAATTTATGTATGTGTTTGAGGAACCATTTTATATTTGTGGTCAAGTGTTAGACGAAAGCGATGAAAAACAAGAGTCGGGTGGATGGTTTATAAGGTCGGATGATGAAGAGGATATGTCAATGGTTAATATTGATTTGAGTCATCTCCATCAGTTTTCATTATTTTCTGGAAAGGTTTAGTCTTTTTTATTAATTTTATTGCTCTCATATCATTATTATCGTTTACTCTTTTAAATCTCATTTCAGTCAAGTCGGTAATAGCAAAGAAAGCAACGACAATGAGTTCTATTGCTCAGTTGATAGCCTTTGATTGTTATTCAGTGTAGTCGTAATAATTAGCAGAGGATTACTCTCATTTGTTTGAGTTTTCTAACGATAAAACNAGGAGTAGTTTCGTTGTATTTTAGATTGTTGCAATGAAGGGTACTAACAAAGATGGTTCACTGTTCGTTCCTTCTGAAATATTCGAGCCTGCAAAAATGCAGTTGTCGTCGATTGTAAATAAATCAGTTGTCGGTTCGTTTTCATTGTTCTATTGTATTTTTTATAGGTTTTATTGTAAAGTATTTTTGGGTGCATAACTGAAGCGTTTATGTAAAATAAGGCCGAAATAATTTTCAGAATGGATCGCTGTTCAGTTTGATTAACGTTGTGACGATCTCTTACTGTGAAAAGCTAAAAGGAATAAAAGAATTTTTCAAAATGATTTTTTCCGGAGGCTCTAATTAGTTCCATTCAGATCAACTTAGTATTTGGTGTGCCTGTGGTCCATTCACATCGAATGATACACTTTCATACGAACAACTTTACGATTTACTCTCATTGGTGAAGCAGCAAAAACCGAATATTCTAATTTTGGTGCGTTCACTTTCTTATTTTAAGGAAAAATGAATTTTTTATGCATCCAATTTTTCGTTTTCATTCAATAATTTTCTGATGGAAGTGATTTTTGTTCACACTGAATTTAGATTATTTTTAGATGGGTCCATTTGTCGATCGTTCAAGCAAAGCCGTTTTATCACCTCAGTTTAATATGAAATTTTACGATCTCTTTGAAAATCTTCTACTCAAAATCAGTGCAATGATGGAAGAGTATGGAATTGATTTTTTATTGTTTATTTCGATTGAATTCTTTTGAAAATTTAATCTAGAAAACTTCACTTAAGCGATAACTTTTAATAAGTGAATTTTGGTTAAGCGTTCGGAAATTCCATCAGTAATTTGAGTTTTAAAATATATCTGGTTGAAACTGCTTAGAAATTATTGGCGAATTATGAATGAATTCGTACTGCATTGAAGCAAAAAAAAGTTAATAACTGATTTAAATCAGCGATGTGAATTGTTCAGTTTTGTCGTGTTTGTTACGAATTTAATGAAATAATCAATATTTTTATGAAAAAGTGTTCTCAAAATGGTGAATTGATCGGCGTTTCATGTTTGCAAATAATTTTTAGTACGAGTACGAAATTAGTTCTAATTCCAAGCTTCAAAAAGGACGCTACTGTGCTTCCAATATTTCCGTGTGCATCTTTTGATGTGCGACCCGAATGCAAGAAGATTTTAAGCAAGGTTCGTTTAGTTGCACTTCAGTGAAAAATTCAGTGTTATCTCCTCTCACTGAACGGATGTTTATGTGTAAGCATATTTTTGTTTATAATAAGTTTATAGAACATAACGTTCGCAAGAGATCCATCTCAACTGCGTATAAATGGCGTGAATGTTGCAATAACGAATTCAGAGATAATCCAAACACTCAGCAGATTCGAAGTGTACAAATCAGAGACACAAGATGAACATCGAATGCAGCGTATAATATCGCATCTTTTCAGGTTTTTATTGTTATTAAAGTCACTTTTATTATTGTTATTACCACTATTTTAGTAGTCATGCAATTTTGAGTGATCCGATTTAAATGTTTTGTTAATATTAAAGATAAACGTAAATAAACCATTCGTAAATAATGAAAAGTAATAAAACAATTTCAGTCAACGTTCACTGTATCCACTATACCCGGCGCCATCGGATACTGCACAACGAATTGACGAAACGATCAGAGAATGTTCATTAAGTTGTATACCTCATATTATGATTATGCCATCTATGTTATCACCAATGATCCAAGTTCGCATTTGTTATCATTTCCATTATTATTTATCATCATCATTGTTTGAATTTTTCTGCAACTATTAGTAGCGTTGACATTATTGTCACATTTTCGACTAAATCACCCAAATTATCCCAATAATAACAAATGGAGATTGATTCCGATTGACGGTGATTGCGTTATTGATAAAGCAAGGAACGAAGAATGTTTCAGGTGATCGATGGATGTTTGTGCATAAATCCGGGAATATTAGTTCGTGGTAGTAGTGGAACGTTTATGGAGATGAATATCGATATGAAAATGATTCAGAGTGCAGAGACTGATCAACACAATTGTTCCATTGCTGATTATTGTGAAATTAAAATTTTACGGATTTAATTATTTTCATTCTTTTTTCGTTTGTATGTTACCCGTTGTAAATGTATAGCATTGATGTTGTTATTGTTGGTGGCGACAGTATATTCTACAAACTGAAGCTGTTATTCAAATAAAATTGTTTGATGTTGTATGTATGAAACGATTCCTTTCATTCACTTCACCCTTTGCAGATATTCTTTGAGGATTTATGAAATTGAATTATCCATGAACATCGTATTAGAGGCATGTTATTGATTGGACTTTTGGCGTATTGCGTTTAATAAGGATATTTTACAATCAGTTTTGCTGGGTTTATGATTCATAAATCGTGCGTTGATAACGGAATATAAAATTTTATTGTTCTTTACATCTCGTTTTTATATCCCATTTAAATGTATGTAGGACTGAAGTATAAATGTATGTAAGGTGACAACGTTTCGATGACTTCAATGCAAATACTTATAATGGGTGTTATTGCGATAATTTATAAGTGAATGAGAAACTTTAATGTCGTTGTTGACAGTGGTGTATGCGAGTGAGCGGAGGAGGAATGTGTTGTGTGATGGAAGGGTAATATTCAGATGGGTGAGTGAGAAAAGCCATTTGGAGAGATGAAAACCGTTGAATAATGTGGTACTTTGGATGAAGTACTTCATTCAGTGCTACTGGTAAACGATCACTTTATAATATACATGAAGCACGGTTTCTCAAGTGGGGATGCGAGAAGGGGTGCAAGATAAGGTTTCATTTTTTATATATTAAAATAGGTGAGGACGGACTTCAACGCATACATAGGTGTAAAAGAGACGAGGATGAGCTGAAAGGTGTAAGGAGTACATCAATGTCATCACGCAAATGCCTCGAGCTGTTCACACTACAACGTAGGAGAGTGAAGGCATCTTAAAATTGGGGGCAAAAAAAGTTGAGAACCACTGTTATAAAGTGATTATCAGGGTGAGGTGTCGCAGTGCATTACATTTACATTCAGACTCATTCTGAGCATCACACAAGTAGATGATAATATTTCCATTAGATCGCCTTTTCAACTTGACGTGTTGTCAATTCTTCCAACATTGAAATTGTTGTATTTCTGATCGTAAATCACATTTATGAAATGAATGTTTGAGTAAACATTGGAATTACGTAATTATTTCAGAAGAAACTCATTAAAGCAATAAAATATAATAACGCAAACAGCACTCAACGAAGTGATGCATATGTTCGTACAACAATGTCAATTTTTGCCAACTTGTTACGACGTCAACAGCACACTGATATTCGTACCTGCTGTGATTTTTGTTGTACTAAATATGTATGGTACTTTTTTACTGATCATCGAACGATGCAGTGATTACCGTAATACATGTACTAAGATTGCCGAAAGAAACTTATGGAGCCGAAAATGCAATTATTGAATTACTGTTATTATTGAAATGTTGATATAATTGTTATTAGAATGAATGAATTTATCAAACTTCATTTCGTCTTTGTGCACTTTCATTGTGTATAGTGCATTGAACACTGGGCGAAAAGGTTAATGTACAAAGAGTAATAAACGTTCAGAAAAATTGTAATTTCGTTAAAAAATTTGTATTATGCCTAGTGCTTACGATCGTCTGAGAAATCGATCGTGTAGACAATGCCATGCTGTTTTTTTNTTTTTTTATTGAAACCAAAAATGTTTTAAATGATTATGATGAATTAATTGTTATATGGGTGCAAATTAAAAATTATTTTATTCCGTATAAAATAATGACAGTGATTCATCGCCTCCGACATCACGCTTTTAAAAGGCACACTGCGGAATGCTATGAAAATTTGCACAACTTCGATGAGACACAGTGATGAAAAGAATAAATAAATTCTTCACTCATACTTCTTATTTTTTGCGCATTTATTCAGCAACATTCACATCCGTTCCGTTGGCTGTTTTGTTTGTTTGTTCGTTCAAACAATAGCCGTTTTGTAACTATGCGACAGTTCATAATGAATGCGCTATGGAATATTTTTGCTAAAATGATCACATCAAAGAATCATTATTCGTATTGTTATAATTTTATCAGAATTAATTTATTACTGTCGCAGTTATCATCATCGCTATGACAGAGTTTCGATTCGCTCAATCACTTCTTTATTATTTTGTGCTCTTACAATTAGAGCAATACGATTTTTATATAGTTTTAGGTAAAAAATGATTTTATTAGCAATAATAACAGTAACAATATGCATTAAAATGTATAGCAAAATAACAATGGTAATGGTAATAATACTAATGATTAATAATAACAATAATAATAGTATTAATAATAGTACTAACAATACTAATAATTAGTAATATTAATATTAAAACTGGTAATATCAAAAATGAACAATAATGATAATGTTAATAGCAATAAATAAGAATGACAATGGTAACAAATCAAAAAATGACAATTGCTGTGTGTGAATACGTAAACAAAAGTGACATCTGCACAATGAAAGCATGATATTATCCACAACAATATTATTTGTAAGAACACAGCGTTGGAACTAGTTTTGAAAAGGTGTCTTAAATGTGACTTCTATTCATAATATTTGTATTATTATATTTATGCGGATTGGATTGATCGTATTATTGTTCAAAGCACATTATCATTGTGATATTATCTCTCACATTACCTCCTTAATGACTTAACTCGCTGTCTTGTATCACATCAATTAACATGTCACATTAATTATGTTTCGACGATCGTTTAACGACGTTATTTTCAAAACTTCATCAATTCATCATCTTCGAAACTCGTTTAGAGAGCAAATTAGCGTTCATATTTTTAATTTTTTCGAAAACAACCGCACGAGATGACTCATGGTCAATGGAGTATAATGCCAAAGTAATCCTCGGAAATTGTTTCATTTTAGGGATTTAACAATTTTGCAACAAACAATCGAAAAGTTATTTTGCGTTTTGTATTGTCAGCGCTCATTTTTGTACTATTTTACTGTGTCGTTTTCCGTAGTTCTCTGTCGATAATCGAAATAAGCTGCATTGTTGATTCATTTCTCAAATCATTCGCACGTCATCAGTTTGTTATCATTGCTCACAATTATCACTTCTGTCCATTGTTTTCAATATGCAAAACAGTTTCATTATGTGAACTGCTAAAGCACTTCTTTCGCAATCGTCTTCTCAAATCTCTTCCACTGAATAAGTATTCTTTAATACGATTATAATAACAAAACATATCGGTTGGTTATGCACGGTTACACATTGATTTTTTGATGCATGGTCTGCTTATGAATGCAATCTTACGTACGGTTGTTATCATAGAATGTTTATTCATATTGTCATTGTGATTTCGTAATCATTTTCTTGCTGAACTCTTTGCTGTTAATACGACTCTGTCGTGTTATCAAGAAATAATTCGCATTCACAAAATGAGATTCATCAAGCAAAATATCGTTAACGTATATTTTGAGGTCATTTTCGACGTTTGATTGGATGGCATTCTGCTCTCCTTTAGAATCGTCAGCTTTAATTTAGTGATATCTTTGAAAAGTCACTAACGATTGCATTTTTTCCGTTTGATTTGCAGCATTTCATTTGCAGAAAGGTTATCGTCCCCCACTCGTTAAGCAAATGATGGAATCATTTTCGGATCCAATCCAATTTTGATCGCGAAATTGACATTGATGGCCACGAAAACCAATAAACGTGCTCTTTCGCACTCTAGATCAAGCACGGTTTCAGTCCAGCGATTTAACTCCATTTCACCTCTCAGCTCTACGGCAGCACCACCTCATCCATACTTCGTTATTTTTTTCGAACACTTCAGCATATGATTCACCCTCTTCTGGCAGCAAATATAATGCTGATGATGATGTCAGAAACCTCATCTCACGTAGAAGCTGTTCACTGGAGCGGTCACTAGTGTCTAAGTTATGAAAAGTTGTAAGTGAGGAGCATCTTTGTGGCTTTGCAGCGAAAAATCTCGAAATGTTGTGTCGAATGACTATGATTCCAACTCATGTTGTAAGTATTCTTTCATGCTTGGCTCTGAAATAAGGGCAGCAGTTAACACGGAATGACAGAGTGGAATCAGGTTGAATTGCTCCAGTGCAATTGAATGTTTACTGATAAGTTTTTTTTAATTCCCCGTAGCAAGCATAATAAATGAGTTACGTTTGATGTATACGAACTGCCTTGAAAGTGCTGAATTTGAAAACTTTTCTCCACTCATTGTTTTTCGTTGATTTGAAATGGATTTCGGATGGTCGTGTAAGAGGAATATTCATTGCTGCTGAATTCAGTCGTCACTTCAAAGCTGATATATTCCTTCTCGAAACACAAATTATTCAATTCGATGACAGGTAAACGACTGCAAAATAATCAATTACCCATGCAAAATGGTCAACCGCTTCGATTTTGTTGTGTCTGGCTATCGACAAAACACTTTATTATTCCGTTTATACGTAAATAGTCCATATCAGGCATTAGCAAGAAATTCCTTGCGTACGAGATTAGGATGTCGGCGGTGGATGCTTTGTTGTCGCTCTTGTCCTAGCGTATGATTGCGAGGAGTCAAGAGACCGAGTTCTTTCGGTTACTCGTCGCAGGTATTAGGTGTATTATAAATGCAAACATCGGACTGATGGATGGTCAGGTGAGTGCCAGGGGCGAATAAATTATTCAGCACACTAATTGTAAGTGTGACATAGTGCAACATACAAGTTTATATTTGCATCAAGTAGGTCGAATCGCACACATTGTTACAACTGATTTCAGCAACCATTTATTCTTGAGAGCGGATTTTTGTGAATCAATCATTTGGTTGCATTAGCAATGCTATCTCAACATAATACTATCGAAATCCCCTTTCCTTAATCTGATGGGAGATTATGATCGATCCGAGGCCGAAAACGACCCCAATATCTATTGGGTGAGGAAGAAATTTCTTGAATGCTAGTGTCAATTAATAGCTGCAACTAAATGAGAAGTCAATTTCATTGGTTCAAATCAGTGAATACAATGAATCAATTGTTCA